AATAACAAGACAAGATCCATTTCTTTTAATCGCTCTCTTTTATGAAATTGAACCATTTAATTTTGTTTTTCTCTCCTCTATCTTTCTCAATCTCTCTTTTTCTAGTTTTTGTAGTCGGCTAGTCGAGGTACGATTATGTGCCACTTGCAACTGAACAAAGTTTCAATCAACTTCAAATTTTAACTAACTCTAGTGTTTAACGGGATGAACTGTCAAACTCTTAAAGGTGGTGACGTGAAGCTGATGAGTTTAATTTCTAGTCTATATTATTGTCATTTGTGAACTGTACACAGAGAATGATACAAAAATCTAAATTACTCCGTAATATTTTTACGTCATTCGTCGTAATGTGTAATTTTCATTTTACGAATTAAAGTGTTTTTTCATAATTTATATTAATATGAATAATTCTAATTATTTGACAATAATCAAGCAAATATTATTTTGTCACTTCTCAAAACATGCATTTTTTATCTTTCAATTATCCTATCTATATACTAATTAATTTTGATCACATTTTAAACCGAGTCCAATTTGTAAAATTTAATGTCATTATTTTTTTAATTTTCGTTGGATTGATCACTATGTATGTTATCTAAAGGTTAAAATTTAGTGATTTTTTAAAATAATATTTATATTAATGGTCAAAGTTATTGAATTGAAAATTATCATATTCAAATTAATACAAGTTAAAATAAAGAAATAATTCCGAATACATTTATATACCATATTAAGCCACAGAGTGTATAAAATTTGGAAATCGAGATATTATTGTAAACACGTAGGGTTTGGTCCTTATTAACTTTTAGTATGGTACGTACTATACAAGAATTCAAGGGTAATAAAAACAGGGGGAAAAACTCAATCTTGGAAATTAATTATTATTTTTTTCCCTTTTAAAATGTTTTTGCATGTATTATAAATTCATTTAATTTTTGTATTTATGTAGTTTTTCGATCAATCCTGATCTACAAAGGACCACATCATGGCGGGCTTAATATTACAGCATAGTCTTATCAAGACTCAACTAATTTTTTTGGGATGAAGCTCTTGTTTTATTTTGTATTTTTATTTTTATTTTTTGGCCAAATAAAAGTTGGTTTTTTGAATAATTAATCTGTCGATTGCATGCATCAAAACGACAAATTTTATGGGAACTTCATGTCAAATTTGAGTGGAATTCATGTTATAGATAAATCCAAGTTCCATTATTTCTTTTTACTTTTTTTTTTTTAAGAAAGCTCCATTATTTCTGGTATTTATTTTACAAGTTTTAATTTTTAATTTAAATCATAGGTTTGTCATTTTCTCCTTTCTATTTTTATGCATTTTAATTAGTTTATTGATTGCCAAGTGTTCCTGATTTTTTTGATGTTTAGTCATTTTTATTATAGTTTTCTTTAAACTCTTTCTAATAGTTTGCCAGTGATAATTTATTTTTTCTATGGCATGCATTGGATTCTTATAACCAAAAAATTCTTTGACTTTTGTCTTTTTGTGGGTGTTACTAATCAAATGCTTTTACTCATGTTAATTAGGATTTTAAATGTGGATATCAACTAGCTTAGTTTAAATGATTCTATCATGAAATTTTTTGTCTTTTGAAAGAAATCATGAAACTTATATTATATACTCTAAAATAATTTAATTTTTATTGTCATAATAATAATAATAATAATAATAATAATAATAATAATTGAATTCTTACTTCTGTGTTTGACTTGTTTAAATAAGAATTATTGTTTTACAAAAGAACAGGAGCATATATAATATTATGAGTCTCAAATTGATCGATGTAGATGTAATTTAATCTCAACCTATTATATTTATATCTAAGTACTTTTTTGAAAGGCCGGCCTAATTAAGCCTTGACATCCAAAAAATTATCTTATGTGTAGCGGGGAAAGTTTATAGGGTAGATGAGATTTGGCACCTCCACAAACTGTTTTTATAAATGTAACATTATAATATTCTATCCTTTAAATTCATCTTAAAATATATTATCACAATGATTAAAACATGTGATACTTTAAAGTTCAAACCTTGTCTTGTATAGTTGTATTAACTTCCTTAGTAGTGTACGATTGAGAAGTTTACATTTCAAGCTTAATAGTAAAGAACGATAATGATCCGATTTTATTGACATTATATACTAGTAGGATTTTAATTTAGGCTCTTTCAATTTCTCCTCAATATTTAAATTTAAGTTTTAGAAGTAATATGTTGATTATAACTCATTAAAATTCAGCAATTCAAGTTCGGTAAAAATGATGTTGGTTAAACAAAATTTCATCAAAGATAAGTTCAGATAAAATATTTAAGTTGCGTTAAATAAAATATCTGTCACACCACTAATTCAAATTAGACTATTAATTTCAACAAAAAGAGTACATTTTGCTTATTGCTTTGAGATTTATGGTCTTACTTGGCCCTTTGTAATGATTTAGGTGCAGTGAACTCAATCACATTAGTGGTTAGTACACATCATGTTGTCAACAAAAGTATAATATAGTTTTGTATAAAATCTTTGAAATTGGTTTTCGTGGTAAGATCTAGTGAACAAAAATCATCTCCTATTCCTCTCGTGGGTACTATATTTCCTGCAACATCGTACTTAATTTTTCCATCATGCAATATTGTTACTTATTGTATGATTTAATTGACCATTGATTCTGGCGGATTTTACGCCAAGAACATTATGATGTTGTTCTTCGAATAATAATGTTGTGGAAAATGAGTCGTGATCTAGCTATATAATTATACGTATACTTTTTTTTCCTAATATATATATGTTTACTTTTATTTTGACTTTAAAATTTGTTATTCGTTGAAGGTTGTTTACTCGTGTTTTTGTAAGACTTAGAAGTTAGAATCATAGTATAATCGTGTAATTGATTGTCAATCGTTTTGAACTTCTAACTAATTACTAATTTTGAGTTGACGTGGTTGAAGGTTTTACATTTTCTAACGTGAGGGGGAAGTATTAATAGTATTTTGTATTAGAGCCGGTTCATATTTACTGAACTGAGTTGAACTAAACTGAACTGATTGGAGCTGAACTGAACTGAACTGAATTGAGCTGAAATAAATATTTTATGAGAGAGGGAAATTAGGAGCTGAACTGAACTGAACTGATTGGAGCTGAAATGAACTGAACTGATTAGAGCTGAATTGAACTGAACTGAAATTAAGTAAATGTGAACAGACCCTAAGTGTGAAAGTTTTAATTTTATTGGTATTGTAATTTTTTTTTTTATTTATGTAAATCACGTCTAACTAATTAATGATGCACATAGTATAAACCTTAAATCTTTAGCATTTAGGGTCTGTTCCGATTGACTGAACTGAACTGAACTGAACTGAACTGAACCGAGCTGAACTGAACTGAACTTATTAATTAGTGATTTTTAACTACGGATTAGTGATCTTTGATTATTTATTGATATTTATTACTATACTTATGTGTATATAAAAATGTACATATTAAAATATTTACGAAAAAATACTATATATTTATAATTATAAAATGTATGGAAAATATATTAAAAACTTAAAACCTCTAAACATTTTAAACACATATACTATTTAATTTAAAAATAAAATAGTATTAGGACAAAAGAACACAAAACACTTACATGTATCTAACCCATTTAAACAAATTTTAAATAAAATAATATACTAAAAAAAACATTATTATTATTATTATTGTTGTTGTTGTTAATGTTAATATTATTATTATTATTATTATTATTATTATTATTATTATTATTATTGTTGTTGTTGTTGTTGTTGTTGTTGTTGTTGTTGTTGTTGTTGTTGTTGTTGTTGTTGTTGTTAATGTTAATATTATTATTATTATTATTATTATTATTATTATTATTATTATTATTATTATTATTATTATTATTATTATTATTATTATTATTATTGTTGTTGTTGTTGTTGTCGTCGTTGTAATAAGAGCTTAAAATAATGAAATTTGGCTTTAAATCATTAGCAATATCATTAGACATAAATTAAGAGCTGAGCTGAGCTGAACTGAACTGAACTGAACTGAATTGAATTTCAACGGAACAGAACAGGCCCTTAGTCTATAGTTGGTCAATATAAGCAAAAATATTCGAACTGAACCCAGTGTAAAGCATTATAGTGAAGCCATTTTATTGACGAATACAACAAAACATTTTATGTAATGTAGGTGTTTCGTAAACCTTAATTTCGGATACCAATCAAATTTTCTCTCTCTAAAAGGTTGTTTGGCTTACAAAATTAATGTACGAGGCATAATTTTAATATGATTACTTGGATAAAATGCAAAGGCAAGTGAGAGCAATACGTAATTAAAAATTACTTACTCCTTAGTATTAATTTTTTATATTCCGATGTTATTTTCCAAACATATCAAGATATTCAGCATTAACACTACTTAATCAAATTGTTCCATATTAACTTATACTACATATTACTCCGAAATTATGTCTATATCATGCATTCATGCAACGCCAAGCTCATGTACCATGGCTGGCCTGACTATATCTAGCCTATAGCTTAAAATACTAATTAATTATCGTGTCGTGTAGTGTCATAATATTTTAAAGAGCAAGCTCAAGCATAACTAATACCACATGGCCAGTTAACCACCATGCCATGCTTTCCTCGTGAGGCTCATGTGTGTGTTGAATTCTGCTAGTGTCATTTTAACCATAGACCTATGATACTTGTATAGTTGTATTAAATATTTTCATGGAAAACATTACAAAGTGCTAATTGTTCTCATGAGCCATGAGCCCAATTCTAATTGTCTTTCACCTGACATTGGGCCACTATTACTAAAGCCCATATTGATTTCTTCGTGGCCCAAAATTCTAGGAAAAAAAATTGGACAACTTAGCTCAGTTAGCTGTGCAATGACTTGAGGACTCGTGATTTTATGAGGAAAGAACATACATATTTATCAATGGATATTGGAAAATGAATGTAGACTTAAGTATAAAATAATACGAGTACTTTGTAAGAAGATAAAAGTAGAATTATAAATTATTACATTAATAACACCAATTGATGTCTTATTGTGTTATAAATTCTAAAGTACATGTGTTTTTATTTTGTGGTAACAACTTCAAAGAAAATTCTAATATGCTAAATTAGGCGATTCAATAAAAAGTACAGTAAAAAAAGACTTGAATCGCAATGTTTTATCAACACGCAACATTCTCAAGCATTCAAGCAGGAGTTGATAAAATCATGAATAACTACAAGCAATTCTTTGCACTTTTTTTGGTCCAAAATATCTACTCCATGATAATCTCCTTCAGTAAAATGCCCCTTCACATTAACTCCAATATTTTCCAACACCGTAACAAACTCGGAGATACGGTCCACAAGGGGGTCACCACTACACTCCGTGACCAACACACGCAAACCCATCTTCTTGATTCTTTCTATTCGACCCAATCCATCACCCGCTAACCCTGATAAAGGATTGCAAAACTCATGGTCACGACTCGCCCCTTCGGGCAAAGAGAGCTCCCAAAACAAATCGTTACCCGACAATGGCAAATATGGATCATTAATCAACCTCAATTCCGATCCGGTACGCTGGGGCCCACCAAAATATGGATGATGCAAAATTGCACCTTTAAATTTCAAGGGGTGGAGATCGTCAATGAGATAAGATGCCCTTAATGCTGTTTGATAAGCTATGTTCCCTCCAGCACTTGTTCCCATCAAAAAACAGTTACTAATGTCTCCATATTTGGACAACCATTCATCCTACACAATACACATAATAAATCAAACAATATATTTTTAGAAAACAAAAAATTTCACAGGATAATCTAATTAAATTAGTTTTAAGAAACGTTACTATAAAACGTACAGAGTACTCTATAATGTAAGAGCATCTCCAATGGTTTAATTGTAAGGACTTGCTTGCAATATAAATAAAATTTCTAGCTACATGCTTACCATTGGAGAATAAAAAATTGAGCACCATGCTAGCAATTGTAGCCCAAACAAGCTACATGCTTGATTGAAAAAGAAACAAATAAAATCCACTTATATTTTAACATGTGTATAATTATTTATTTATTTATTAAAATTTATTTTTCACAAACTAAAAAATGTTGTAGCTTACCATTGGAACACTTTGTTGCTAAAAAGTGTTGTAGCTTAAAAATTAATATAGAAAAGCAAGCTATAAAGCATTGTAACTTGTCATTGAAGATGCTCTAAATCTTTTGTTTCTCAATACATACTACAAGTTGACTTTTAGTGTGTGTAAAATAAAGCTAATATTTTTGTATATAATAAAAATATTTCAGATGTTTACTTCCCGTATTAAATTTACTGAAAAAACACTTTACCTCAATTTTGATAGACATTGCCTCTTTGAGTATAACTAAGTTAATTATGTCACATACTCGGTTTGATTGTCAGTTTGTCACATATACTTTAATTTGTATTCTAACCTGATGTCTACTATAATATTTTTATCATTCGATTCAGATTTTTGAGCAATCAATTAAATTTCACCTTTGTTTATTTCAAAATAATTTACCTCAGATAAAAAACTCTTACAAAATTACTTTGATAGATTGTTGTTAATCATTAAGAAATATTTGTATGAATGTACGTTGTATGATATACCATAGAATTATCAATTCGGATAAACGGGTCGGGTTAGAGTGGTCGGGTCAATTCGGGTCGGGTCAATTAAGATTAATTCCATAACCTATGTGGGTCGGGTTTGGGTTGGGTCATGCTTGACTCAGTCACGTCGGGTCATACTTCTTATCGGGTTTGAGTCGGGTTTAGGTCGGGTTAATAACAGGTCGGGTTACATTCGAGTCGGGTGAACAATAGGTCGGGTTTAATTCGGGTTAAAACTGGTTAGGGTAATTCTCGGGTTCGAGTTGGGTTCAGTTCAAGTCAAAAATTTGCGGGTTAGAATTAGGTTGGGTCATTCTCGGATTTGAGTCGGGTTCGGTTCAAGTCAATAATTTGCGGATTATAATCAGGTCGGGTCATTTTCAAGTCAGGTCATTCTCGGGTTCAAGTCGGGTTCGGCTAAAGTCAATAATTTGCGGGTTATAATCAGGTTGGGTCATTTCCAAGTCGGGTTAGTCTCGGATTCAAGTCGGATTATGTTAAATCAATAATTTGCAGTTTACAATCAAGTCGGGTCATTTCCAACTCAGGTCATATTTGGGTTCAACTAACTATAAATAGATAATTCTCATTTTTATCAAGATAATTATTTCCTTTGACTATAATATATATGGAAATATACTAGGGAATTATAGTCTATAATTTAGGAAGATAATTATCTCCTTTGACCATACAACAAATATATACTATATTTAACTCTTAAATTTGAGAATGATGCTCCTTTCTTTTGCTGGCCTGGACCGACTTAGTCTCCCAAGACAAAATGCTACGACCAACAATAATAAAGTGGTCTAAATTGCATTTAAGGTGATTTAAAATCGGATCAGGAACAATTTGGGTTGAATTTAGGTCTGGTCAATAAAAAGTCGTGTTAATTTCTAGTCGGGTTAATAATAGATCGGGTTGAATTTTTGGGTTGGGTAAGTAATAGGTATGGTGAAATTTGGGTTAAGTCAATAACTAGTTGGGTTGAATTTGGATCAGGTCAATAACAAGTCGGGTTGATTTCGGGTCGGGTTTGTAACAAGTTGGGTTACTTTTGAGTCGGGTTAGGAACGGGTCGGGTAGAGTTCAGGTCTGGTTAGTAACAAGTCGGGTTAAATTCGGGTTTTGATCGGTTAAAATGGGTTAAGGTAAATTTCGGTTCAAGTCGGGTTCAGTGCAAGTTAATTAAATTGGCCGTTGTAAACCGGTAAATTGGCCGTTTAAAAGCAAATTGAATGGTTCCACACACCCAATTGGACTCCCGGAGGATATTATGGACCATGGTAAACATTTCGGCAATTTTAATTTTCGGGCGAAAAAAAAGTCAAAAATTTACAAAATTGAAGGCTAATATCCACGCTTTTTAAGAAATTTTGAAGGTTTCAAAGCCCGGTGTCGAAAAGTCTTGAAATTTTATGGGATACATCTCGGGGTCATATAATGCCATTTGGAACCATATATGATCATTATTTGTTGTCATAAATGTTCGTGGTAGGCTTGAATTAATGAAATCAGTGCAAGTTGTAAATCGGTAAATTAAAAGACAAATTGGATGGTTCCATCCACCCAATTGGACCCCCGGAGGGTATTAGGGACCATGATAAATATTACGGCAATTTTTATTTCCGGGTGAAAAAAAGTCAAAAAATTCCTAAATTGAAGGCTAATATCCATGTTTTTTGAGAAATTTCGAAGGTTTCAGAGCCCGGTGTCGAAAATAAATGAGATTTTATTAGATACATCTCGAAGTAATATAATGACTTTTGAAACCATAAACGACCATTATATGTTGTCATAAATGTTTGTGGTAGGCTTGAGTTAATGGAATTAGTGTAAGTTGTAAACCGGTAAATTGGTCGTTTAAATGCAAATTGAATGGTTCCACCCACTAAATTGGACTATCAAAGGGTATTAAGGACCATGATAAACATTTCGGCAATTTTTATTTTCGGGCGAAAAAAAGTTAAAAAATTCCAAAATTGAAAGCTAATATCCACGCGTTTTGAGACATTTTTTAGGTTTCGAGGCCCAATGTCGAAAAGATTTGAGATTTTAGGGGATACATATCGGGGTCATATAATACTGTTTTAAACCATAAATGATCATTATATGTTGTCATAAATGTTCGTGGTAGGCTTGAGTTAATGAAATTAGTGTAAGTTATAAACCGGTAAATTCGCCATTTAAAGGCAAATTGGATGGTTCCACCTACCTAATTGGACTTCTGGATTGTATTAGGGACCACGATAAACAATTCATCAATTTTTATTTACAGGCAAAAAAAGTAAAAAAAATTCAAAAATTTAAGGCTAATATCCACGTATTTCGAGAAAATTTTGGAGGTTTCGAGGCCTAGTATAAAAAATCCTTAAGATTTTAGGAGATACAACTCGTGGTCATATAATGCCATTTGGAACCATATATGATCATTATATGTTGTCATAAATGTTCGTGGTAGGCTTGAGTTAATGAAATCGGTGCAAGTTGTAATCTAGTAAATTGATCATTTAAAGGCAAATTTGATGGTTAGTTCCACCCGCCCAAATGGACTCCCGAAGGATATTAGGGACCATAGTAAACATTTTGGAAAATTTTATTTCCGAGCGAAAAAAGTTAAAAAATTCCAATCTTGAAGACTAATTTCCACGCATTTTGCAAAATTTTTATGGTTTCGAGACTCGGTGTCGAAAAGTCTTGAAATTTCAGGGAATACTTCTTGGTGTAATATAATGTCGTTTGGAATCATATATGATTATTATATGCTGTCATAAATGTTCGTGGTAGACTTGAGTTAATAAAATCGGTGCAAGGTTTAAATCGGTAAATTTGTCGTTTAAAGGCAAATTGGATGGTTCCACCCTCCCAACGGGACTCCCGGAAGGTATTAGGGACCATGGTAAATATTTCGTCAATTTTTATTTTCGGGCGAAAAAAAGTATATTTTGAGAAATTTTGGAGGTTTTGGGGCCGGTGTCAAAAATGCTTGAGATTTTAGGGGAAACATCTTGGAGTCATATAATATCGTTTGGAACCATATATGGTTATTATATGTTGTCATAAATGTTCGTGGTAGGCTTGAATTAATGAAATCGGTGCAAGTTGTAAATAGGAAAATTGGTCGTTTAAAGGTGAATTGGATGGTTCCACTCAACCAATTGGACTTCCAGAGGGTATTAGGGACCATGGTAAACATTTCGGCAATTTTTTATTTCCGAGCAAAAAAAAGTCAAAAAATTCCAAAATTGAAGGCTAATATCCACGCTTTTTGAGAAATTTTGGAGGTATCGGGGCCTTGTGTCGAAAAGTCTTGAAATTCTATGGGATACATCTCGGGGTCATATAATGTCGTTTGGAACCATATATGATTATTATATGTTGTCATAAATGTTCGTGGTAGGCTTGAATTAATGAAATCGGTGCAAGTTGTAAATAGGTAAATTGGTCGTTTAAAGGCGAATTGGATGGTTCCACTCAACCAATTGGACTTCCAGAGGGTATTAGGGACCATGGTAAACATTTCGGCAATTTTTATTTCCGAGGAAAAAAAAGTCAAAAAATTCCAAAATTGAAGGCTAATATTCACGCTTTTTGAGAAATTTTGGAGGTTTCGGGGCCCGGTGTCGAAAAGTCTTGAGATTTTATGGGATCCATATCGAGGTCATATAATTCCGTTTGGAATCATGTATGATCATTATTTGTTGTCATAAATGTTCGTGTTAGGCTTGAATTAATGAAATCTGTGCAAGTTGTAAATCGGTAAATTAGCTGTTTAAAGGCAAATTTGATGGTTCTGCCCACCCAATTGAATTCTCTTAGAGTATTAAGGACCGTTGTAAACATTTCGGTAATTTTTATTTTCGGGCGAAAAAAAGTAAAAAAATTCCAAAATTGAAGGCTAATATATCCACGCTTTTTGAAAAATTTTGGAGGTGTCGGGGCCCGATGTCGAAAAGTCTTGAAATTATATGGGATACATCTAGAGGTCATATAATGCCGTTTGGAACCATGTATGATCGATTATTTGTTGTCATAAATGTTCGTGGTAAGTTTTAATTAATGAAATCGGTTCAAGTTGTAAACCGTTAAATTAGTCGTTTAAAGGCAAATTGGATGATTCCACCCATCCAATTGGACTCCTGTAGTGTATTAGAGACTATGGTAAACATTTCGGTAATCATAATTTCCGAATGCAAAAAATACAAAAAATTCCAAAATTGAAGGTTAATATCCACGATTTTTGAGAAATTTTGGAGGTTTCAGGTAGAGCTGTTAATTCGGGTAAACGGGTCGGGTTTGGGTCGGTAAGTGTGGGTTGGGTCAACTCGGGTTGGGTCTATTCGGATTAATTCCATAACCTATGCGGGTCGGGTTTGGGTTGGGTTATTCTTGAGTCGGGTCACGTCAGGTCATACTTCTTATCGGGTTTGGGTCGGGTTTAGGTCGAGTTAATAACAGGTCGGTTCAACAATATGTCGGGTTTAATACGGGTTTTCACGGGTAGGATAATTTTCGGGTTCGAGTCAGGTTCGGTTCAAGTCAATAATTTGTGGGTTAGAATCAGGTCGGGTTATTCTCGGGTTTGAGTTTAGGTTGGGTCAATAGAAAGTCGTGTTGATTTCGAGTCGGGTTAATAATAGATCGGGTTGAATTTTGGGTTGGGTTAGTAATAGGTCTGGTAAAATTCGGGTCGGGTCAATTATAAGTCGGGTTGATTTCGGGTTGGGTTTGTAACAGGTTGGGTTAGTAACAAGTGGGGTTAAATTCGGGTTTTGACGGGTTAAAACCGGTTTGGGTCAATTTCGATTCTAGTCGGGTTCGGTTCAGGTCAATAATTTATGGGTTACATTCGGGTCGGGTCATCTCCAGGTCAGTTCATGTTCGGGTTCGGGTCTCACATACTCGGGTCAAATCGGGTCTAGGGTTGGTTTCTTGTCGGGTTTGGGTCACCATTTTTTCGGGTTCAGATGGTTTGGTTAATAATCGGGTTTGAGTCGGTATTTCGGATCGGGTCAACTTTTGATAGCTCTTATATATCACTTGCTATATTTGACTTTTCAAAGTCAAAGACTCAATGTTCATTAATTTTGACTACAATTTATAGTTAAACAAATTATACCATCATTTGAAATATTGTTAGATTATTATTATAAAAATTGTAGCAAATTAATTAAAATAGCAAAATACCAACCATGTTAATGTTCGTAACACTAAAGAACTAAAATGAATAACTTTTTTATGACTTGACAAATACGGAGTATTTCTTAAGTCAAATAACTACCAATGAAAAAGACTAAAGACTAGACTGAAGTTGTGGAAGAACTTACAGTTGGATCAGAAGTGCTATGCTCCTTGTTAACCACCGAAGCACGAACCCACTTCACAGCATCCATAGCATCATCATAAGCAGCTGGAAGGCGATGCTCAGGCGCCAACCGATACTCAACAGACACAACAATCACCGACGCATATAATGCAAGCGCACAACAAATATCATGATTATAGAAAGAATCGACATGTAAAAGAACAAAACCACCCCCGTGGTAGTACACCACGATGGGGAGCTTCCTAGAAGGATCCGATAACGCAGATTTGGGGAGGAAAACACGAACATAAGTATTGTAAGTCGAGTTTAGAGTAAAATCTTTGGTAAGAACAGAGGAAGAAGAGTTGGGATCTGGTGTGGCAGGAGTAGATGGAACATCAAGGTATCTAGTAAGTGTACCATCTGGGTTAAGTTTAGATTGGAGGTATTGGTATGGATCAACGGTGCAGATTGGAGTTGACTTTTCTTCTTCACTAGCCATGGTTGGATCTGAGTCGTTGACTGGTTTTTTTTTTTCTCTCTTTCTCTGTTTTTTTTTTTTTTTTTTTTTTTTTTTTTTTGGTAGTTTTATAAGAAGTAGAATTTGTGGTTTGGAGGATTATAATGTGGGTATAGCGTTTGATTTCTATTTTTCATTGCATGAAATTTTTGCCACCACATAAGGAATATTATTATTGCATAAACTTCAACTTGTTATTTTTTGTTTAAAAGTCAAAAGTTTCATTAATGGACTATGTGTAGTCCAATTTACTACGAGTAAGTAGTAGATGTTTCTATTTTTTTTTTAATTATTTATTTATTTATTTATTCCAATACAAACAAATATGACTAACAAATTTAGCTATTAATTAATCGTTAAGCCTTACATTCAAGTGTCTTGTCGATCTCTTGTGCCAATACTATGTTTGTTGAGATTTTTTTTTTATTATTATTTTTTTTAAAACAAACATTTTTTAAATACTGGTAATGAAAATCTTTTGGTCCTCTCTTATACTCAAAATATTGTCTTCATAAAAACACATATCAACTTAATAACTTATAAATTAGAATTCTAAAGTCAATAATGCGTACATTATTAATTAGGATAAAAAAAAAAATGTAGTTAATTCTGATAGAAAGGCCCAAGGAATATGGGCTCAAGTTTGTGAGTCTGCATTATTGGGCCATATATCATTTTTTTTTTGGTTAAAGGCCATATATCACTCGATATATTGAAATGCAACAAAAAGATAACATGCGCAATTAAGGATGAGTACATAATTAATGCAAGCTTGAGTATAAAAGCATTAAAAACATTTACCAAGTTATGTAAGGTGAAAAAACATTGCGCACAAATTGGTAGAGCTCTTGAGCTTTAGTACTATTGCCAATAAAAACACCATGGTAAAATCCTTTGCCAAAATTTCTAATGACATTCACACCTTGTTTCTTAAAAAATTCGAACACTTCCACTTGCCTGTCGAAAATAAAATCCCCATCACAACCTGCAATTGCAATTCGCCAACCCAAACTTTTAATATTATCCAAATTTCTGGATCCGCCACCGAACATTGGGTTAAAATAAGGGTTGTTCAAGTTAGCACCAAGGGGCAAAGACAAATGCCACAAAAAATCAATCATTTTTTGTAAATTACCGTACTTGACACGATTCGGATTTGATCCTCCAAAGAACGGTTGGATTAGTACCAAACCTCGGATAACTAAGGGTTGAAGCTCACGGGTTAGAACAGACGCTCGTAATCCTACGTTGTAAGCAATGTTACCCCCTACACTCTCCCCCATTAAAATGCACCTTGAAGCATCCCCATAATTACTCACCCACTCATCTTTGTTTTCTTTTACCCAATACAAGGCATCCAAAACGTCGTCGTAGGCAGCAGGAAGGCGATGCTCGGGGGCAAGCCGGTACTCAACGGAGACAACTAACACGTTAAGTTTATTCGCGGTGTTTGAGAGAAATGAGTCAACACTAGGGGTGGCAGTGCTAAGTATAATGAACCCACCACCATGGGCGAAAACAATTATTGGAAGGTTAAAGTCATGTTCTGACTTATTGGGTAAGTAGAGTCGAACCCACGTTTTTTTAACGGGGTCTAGAGGGACATCTCTAGAGAAGGCAATAGTAGAGGAAGTGTTGGGTGGAACGGTCGGGTAGAACTCCTTAATTCGAGTGATTGAGCCATCCGGATTCGGAATAATGTGGAAAAATGAGTAAGGATCAATTAGAGGAGGTTGAGCATTGGATAAAGAAATTTGGATTGATACAAAACTTGTAATTAGGAACAACAATGCTAGTAGTTTGGTTAGTTTTTTCATTTTTAGCTTAGTATAAATTTTATGTTAGAATCTAGGCTGATAAGTAAAGAAAGTTGAGATAAAAGTTGGTTACATTTCATTATTGCTCAACTGTGAAAAAGGATTAATCATTGAAAATGATGAGATATGAGTTTGAAAAAAATACCATATAGCCCATGCTTGTTGACAGTAATGGGTCCATTTTTGTCTGTTAAAGTTGTTTGTCATATTGTTAAGACTTGCGCCATTAATTACGGAGTACATTAAAATAGAATAGAGGGTAGATTTAATTTGTGTACCATTATCTAGAGTATAATGGACATGACGGCTGGTGATGAACAATGTAGCGGAATTAACCTTTAAATAGGCTACTCTATACAAAGTACTCTCTTTAATTTATTTAAGTACCTCACTTTTTAAAAACGGTTGTTTTTTTTAGTGTCCCATCACCAAAAGTGTACAATTAATAAGAATTAACAGTATGGTTTATATTGTTAGATTTTTCTCAGACGCGAGCTTAATTTTAAGGCCCTATGAGCTTCATCTAGCCCATTTTGATACCCATAAAAAGAGGACTTAGTGCTTTGAAGCTTTCAATAATTAATCTATCCTAATGCGTTACTCCAATAATTGCACTATTACCTTAATTAAATGGAATGTATATTATGACTGATAAAACTATATTGTCCATTGTCCATCAAATTTGAGGATGTCTATTACTAGCTTATCCAAATTATTGAGCGATTCAAATCAAATAAGCCGGATATAGTTTTTTTTTTAATAAATAGGGTCATACAAGTTGTGAGTAATCAATACTAGTACTTGGGTAATTGAATATGTTTTCTGTTATGAGTATCCTAGATCAAATCATTGTTAACAAATGCGTATGCAATGTGAATTCATCAACTTTGCGTAGACTAGTAACTTATTAACCAGAAACCACATTAATGGACTCCACATGATTTGATATATTTGATCGAGTCATGACATACGTATAGTACTACAATAAGACAATAACATGCACAATTATGAATGCATTTTCACATTCAAGAAGTTACATAAGGTGAAAAAACACCCCTTACAAATTGATATAGCTGTTGAGCTTTAGTAGCATCACCAATAAAAACACCGTGATAAAACCCTCTAGTAAAATTACCAGTCACATTCACCCCTCGTCTCTCAAGAAATTTAAACACCTCCAATTGTCTGTAAAAAATGAAATCCCCATCACAACCCGCAATTGCAATCCTCCAACCCAAACCTTTGATTCTATCCAAATTATGCGATCCACCACCGTACATAGGGTTAAAATAAGGATTGTTCCAATTAGCTCCAATGGGTAGAGACATATGCCACAATAAATCATCCACTGCTTGAAAATTACCATCATTGGCACTCTTAGGACTTGATCCTCCAAAAAATGGTTGGATTAGAACCAAACCTCGGATAACCAACGGCCTTAGCTCGCGGGTTAGAACCGACGCGCGTAATCCTACGTTGTACACAATGTTGCCCCCCGCACTCTCGCCCATCAAAATGCACTTAGAAGCATCCCCATATTTTCTAACCCACTCATCCTTTTTATCCTTCACCCAATACAAGGCATCTAAAACGTCGTCGTAGGCAGCAGGAAGGCGATGCTCGGGGGCTAGCCGGTACTCAACCGAGACAACTAGCACGTGGAGTTGGTTCGCCGTGTTGGATAGAAATGAGTCAAATTGAGGGGTGGCAGTGCTCAATAGAATGAACTGACCACCATGAGCAAAAACCACTATTGGAAGGTTATAGTCATTGGACTTGTTGGGTAAGTAGAGTCGAATCCACGTCTTTTTAGCAGGGTTAAGAGGGACATCCCTAGAGAAGGCAATATTAGAGGATGTGTTGGGTGGAACGATCGGGTAAAACTCTTTGATTCGAGTGATTGAGCCATCCGGGTTCGGAATTATGTGGAAAAATGCATAAGGATCAATTAAGGGAGGTTGAGCATTGGATAAAGTAATTTGGATTGATACTAAACTTGCAATTAGGAACAAGAATACTAGTAGTTTTGTTGGGTTTTTCATTTTTTTAGCTTAGCTTAGTACAAGTAGAGTATAATTTTTGTGATTTGAATCTAAGCTAATAAGTATAGGCAGATTGAGAAAAGTTGGTTGCATTTCATTAATGCTCAAGTGTGAAAGAGAATCAATTATCGAAAATGATGGGACATAAATTTGAAAAATTCATCTTTGGTGACAGTATTGGGTCCATTGTGTTTGTTAAAGTTTTTTGTCACTTCTTGTGCTACACTTTTGAATTAAAATTGAATAGGTAATTTTAGTACCGTTATTAGATGGGACTTTAATTAAATTAATGAGGAGCAAAAAGGTACAAGTATTCAATAACGAAGGTAAGAAAATACACTTCTCACAAACTCAAACAGCTTTAGTGATTTAGCGAGTTCAGTAACAAAAACACCATGGTAATCTCCTTTACTAAAATTACCAACAACATCTACGCCTTGTTTTTTTAAAAACATAAATACCTCTACTTGTTTGTCATAAAGTCGATCTCCATCACAACCCGCTATTGCAACCCGCCAGCCCAACTCTTTAATTTTATCTAAATTACTTGACCCGCCTCCAAACATCGGGTCACAATACGGGTGGTTCCTACTACCTCCGAGTGGTAGAGATAAATTCCACATAAAATCCGTAATCACCAAGGGTAAGCCAGCCGAATCGGGTAGTTTCAACTCGGATTCGGTACGATTTAACCCGCCAAAAAATGGTTGGATCAAAACCAAACCCTTAATAACTAACGGCTTAAGCTTATGGTTTAAAATAGACGCTCCTAATCCCACGTTGTAGGCTATGTTACCCCCTGCACTCTCCCCCATCAAAATACACCTTGTAACATCCGCATACTTGTTCACCCACACGTCTTTTTTTTCTTTAACCCAATGCAAGGCCTCTAAAACGTCGTCGTAAGCCGCAGGAAGGCGGTGTTCGGGTGCGAGCCGGTACTCAACCGAGACAACCAACACGGTGAGGTTACTCGCCGTGTTGGAGAGAAACCAGTCGAAGTTAGGGGTGGCAGTGCTAAGGATAATAAATCCGCCCCCATGGGCGTATACTGTGATTGGTAGGTTAACGAGGTCGGACTTATTGGGTAAGTAGAGTCGAATCCACGTTTTTTTATCGTGGTTAAGAGGGACATCCCTAGAGAATGCAACAGAAGAAGTGTTGGGTGGTACGGTAGGATAGAATTCCTTAATTCGAGTGATTGAACCGTCGGGGTTTGGAATAAGGTGGAGTAATTTGTAAGGATCAACGGTGGAATTTTGTGCTTGATTAAGGATTGGTAGGATTGCTAAGATTGTAAATAGAAGTAATTTTGTAGCATCCATTGTTGTTTAGATTAATGTTGAAGGTAAGTAAAATACTTGATTTTAATAGGAAAAGTATGATTTGGATAAGCCAAAAAAAGGACTGTACTGTTATTGTCGTTGGTGTAATTACAGCTGTCCCAATTACTCGAAATTTACGACCCATTTGTTTAGAGTGATAAGAGATGGGATCAAGATTTATAAATTTGATGCCTTTTTCATTGTTTGTTTAGGAGGATTTGATGTAAATCATTCCAATTCTATGGAGAAGTATTTTATGCTTCATTTTGATCTCACGTTATTCTAATGAGTGGCAGCTAGTAATTAATTTAGCAACCTAAATAAGCTTGTATGATATCGCGGTTTTAAAAGCTAATTGAGCATATATATTACCTCCCTCTATTAATATGCATAATTATTGGGTATTATTTGTAAGATTTATAAAAAAAAATTTCAAAAGTTACACATACTAATCAACATAGCCCTATTAGTATATCGTGAAAAATTTAAATGTAGGTAAAAATTAATTTAAATTATAAGCATAATAATTAACAGGGGAAGTATTTCGACAAATGTACAATAAGAGTTTACAACTTGAATATCATTATCCAAAGATTATCATTGATCGCTAAACAGGAAAAAAACTGTTAACAAAATCAAACAATTCTTTTGTCTTAGGAGGATTGGATAAAAACATACCATGATGACCACCTTTATCAAACAAAGACCTTACACCAACTCCTTTTTGCTCCAACAATTTACCCAACTTAACATTCCGATCAAAAAGCGGGTCACCATCACAACCCGTCACCCCGATTTTCCAACCCAAATCCCGAACCCGGTCCCATAACTTTAACCCATCACCTACAAACGGGTCACAATACTCGTGACTCCGGTTCGACCCGACGGGCAAAGAGAGGTCCCACAACAAATCATTAACAACTAAACTCAAGTCTTCATCATTAACCAACCTAATCTCGGATTTAGTACGCTCAACACCTCCAAAAAACGGTTGGATCAAAATTAACCCCTTAATAATCAACGGCTTAAAATCATCGATCTGATTAGCTACCTTTAATCCAACATGATAGACTATATTACCCCCTGCACTCTCACCCATCATAACACACCTCGTTAAATCCCCGTAATTTTTTAACCACTCATCTTTTCCTTCTTTAACCCAATTCAACGCCTCCAAAACGTCGTCGTATTGAGCAGGAAGACGATGTTCGGGTGCGAGTCTGTACTCAACCGAGACAACTAACGCGCCGAGTTGACTCGCTGATTCGGAACAGAACTCGTGAACAACAGGGGTGGCTACACTGCAGAGGACGAATCCACCTCCATGAACAAAGACTAGTATTGGGAGTTTCTTTGAGGTTTTTTCGTGGTTCGAAACGTTTTTTGGAAGGAAGATTCGAACCGAGGTGTTGTGATCTGAGTTTAGAATGACATCTTTGGAGAGAGAAGGAGCGGAGGTGTCAGTGGTGGAAGGAGGGATGGTGGGGTAGAACTCCGGGAGGCGTGTTAGTGTACCGTCGGAGTTTTGGATGATGTGGAGGCGGTTATAAGGATTTATCGGGTTTGAATACTGTAACTGTGACATTATTTTTTGGGACGGAGTTAATTTTTGGATGTGGAGGTAAAGGAGTATGAGAAATAGTAAGACGGTGGTTGTAGCGGCGGTGGTAGCGGAAGTCGTGGTGAGATTTCTCATTCCTTCTTTGTATAGAGATCTAAAATCAAAGTATAATTAAGATAAATTAAATAAGATAAAAGACCAAATCACCCTTTAAGTAATTTGACCTTGATTCCTTGAACTACTTCTTCCTATCGTCCCATCATCTTTTTGAAACAAGGGTAGTACGTTACGATACTATATATTTGGTGTTAGACAACTTGATTAAAAAGGCAATTGGAAACTTGACATTGTGACGCTTAAACAGGCTTCAGAAATAGATGATGATTATGTAGTTATCATTAAAAAAATTATTTAGCCAAATTGCTACATGAGTACGTGCTATTACCATATACTCGTATCTTATTAACTAAGTGTTCGATATAGGTCACGAACTCATGACATGACATGAAGCTTTTTACTTAGACGAAAAATGATTCAAGTAATGGTAAATGACTTGAAATTTCAATTACAATAGAATTATATCATACTCTCTCTCTTTTTTTCACTCAAATGATACTTATTTTGAAGACAAATAAATGACTAATAATTTAAGAGAAAAAGCCTTTAACAAAATTCAACAATTCATCTGCCTTATATTTAGAAGGACTACCCACAAACATCCCATGCTCACCACCTTCACGAAACTTAGACTTAACATCCAACCCTCTTTTCTCCATTAACTTCACCAACTCTACACTCCGATCAAAAAGTGGGTCACCATCACAACTCACCACCCAAACCCGCCACCCCAACTCTCGAACCCGGTCTAATAAACTCGAACCACCATCTTTAACCGAGTCACAATACTCATGACTCCGGTCAGCCCCAATCGGCAAAGAGGCTTCCCAACACAAGTCGTTACATTTAAGATTTAAAATTTTATCATTTTCCAAGCGGAGCTCTGACTCAGTCCGAACCAAGCCGCTAAAATACGGTTGGATCAAAACCAAACCCTTTATCTGTAACGGTTTTAATTCATCCACTCGAGCTGCGGCCATTAATCCAGTATGATAAACTATATTACCTCCTGCACTATCACCCATCATAACACAACTAGACAAATCTCCGTACTCTTGTATCCACTCATCTTTACCTTCTTTCACCCAAGTCAAAGCCTCTAGAACATCGTCATACGCTGCAGGAAGACGATGTTCAGGGGCGAGTCTATACTCAACAGAAACAACCAACGCAGCGAGCTGGCTCGCTGCGTAGGAGCAGAAGTCATGGAAATTAGGGTGTGCGACACTGGCAACAACAAAGCCGCTGCCATGAACGTACACAATAATAGGATGTTTCTTCCTAGGAGAAGATGACGACAATGAGCTAAGGAATAGTCTGGGTAAGAAGACTCGAACCCAAGTCGATTTTTCGGAGTTGAGAGTTACATCTTTGGAAAGAGAAGGAGAATCTAGGTCATCAATGGAAGGAGGGACGATAGGGTAAATGTCTACGGGACGAGTGAAGGTTCCATCAGGGTTTGGGGTAATGTGGAGGGTTTCTTTAAGGTTTGGGATTATTTTGTGTGTTTCAGTCATTTTGAAGTAGGTAAAATAAAATGAGAAGAATAGATGTAGTGTTAATTCTTGTTAAATGATTTAAATGACTACTGAGAAATGATTTTATGGTTTTTTATTTATTTAATATTGGGTGATCGCTTCTTGGTCCCCAAGGTTCAATTCATGTGGTATAAAGGCAAGCAATTCAAGTAGGGTAAGGTCATCTTTGGCGGGCGCTGAAATTTCAATTAATAAATTACCTCGTATATTCATAGACTTTTACAATTTGATGTCAAAAACTTATTATTGTGAAAATTAGATCGACTTAGGCTAAATACACCATAGCTAAATAGTTTCTACTAACACAAACTTTTAAAAAAATCGGGTGTATAATAATTATTGTACATCCATTATAAAAATAACCTAAAGTGATTAAAAGTTATCCCTGAAATGAATAAAAGTTACCCTAATATGAGTCAAAGTAACCCAATTCAAATAAAAATTATCTTTTTCTTTATTAGTAAAGAATCAAATTTTAAATGACTAAAAATCAATTATTAGTGATTGAATGTAATTAAATTACCTTTATAAAACTTTTCTTGTTGTTGATTTATATAAAAATTGTATTATGTTTGAAGTTACCCAAAAAAAGACAAAAAGTTACCCTAAAATTAGCTAAAAGTTACCCTTATACTGCTCGATGTACACTAATATTAGTGTAAACCGGATGTATATAAAAAATTTTGTTCTACTAATGTTCATAGACTAATTGTAGAGTGAATCATGCGTTTCAATCATCGAGGAATTCTTAAGCTCTAATAACTAGAGTTTATGGGATTTTAATAATGTTCGTTGGTATCAAGACGGTATCATTTTGTAATACCAACATAGAATTATCTTAATACCACTAAAAAATTTTGCGCTTTTAATACCGTTAAACATGTATTTTGGTATCCTAGTTATACTTATACCTGGAGCTGTCAATTCGGGTAAATCGGTCGGATTTAGGTTGGTAAGAGTGGGTCGGGTCAATTTGCATTAATTCCATAACTTATACGGGTCGAGTTATGGGCCATGCTTGAATCGGGTCACGTTCGGTCATACTTCTTTTCGGATTTGGGTCGGGTTTAGGTAGGGTTAATAACAGGTCGGGTTACATTCGGGCCGAGTGAACAATAGGTCGGGTTTAATTCAGGTTTTCACGGGTTAAAACGGGTTAGGGTAATTCTCGGGTTCAAGTCGGGTTCGGTTCAAGTCAATAATTTGGGGGTTAGAATCAAGTCGGATCATTCTCGGGTTTGAGTCGGGTTCGGTTCAAGTCAATAATTTGCAGATTATAATCAGGTCGGGTCATTTTAAAGTCGGGTTTGGTTCAAGTCAATAATTTGCGGGTTATAATCGGGTTGGGTCATTTCCAAGTCGGATTATTCTCGGATTCAAGTTGGGTTAGGTTCAAGTCCATAATTTGCAGGTTACAATCAAGTCGGGTCATTTCCAAGTAAGGTCATATTCGGGTTCAACTAACTATAAATAGATACTCCCTCCGTTTTTAAATACTTGCTCCATTTCTATTTTTCACACTATTCATTTGTCCTACTTTGACTAATGTTTGTGATTTATACATAAGAAAAAATATAGTCTTGTGGGTACTTATTAGAATCATCTCAATGAATAGATTATTAATTTTCAATTGTTAGATATATACTTATTGATAATTAAAGATATGAGTGATCAAAGATCATCGGCATGCGTGTCCAAGAGAAATGGAGCAAGTATTTAAAAACGGAGGGAGTAATTATCATTTTTATCAAGCTAATTATTTCCTTTGACTATAATATATATGGCAATACTAGGGAACTATAGTCTATAATTTAGGAGGATAATTATCTCCTTTGACCATACAACAAATATATACTATATTTAACTCTTAAATTTGAGGATGATGCTCCTTTCTTTTGCTGGTCTAGACCGACTTGGTCTCCCTAGACAAACTGCTTTGATGACCAATAACAAGGTGGTCTAAATTGCATTTAAGGTGATTTGAAATCAGGTCAGGAATAATTTGGGTTGAATTTAAGTCGAGTTAATAACAAATCGTGTTAATTTTGAGTCGAGTTAGTAACAAATCGGGTTGAATTTTTGGGTCGGGTAATTAACAGGTCTAGTAAAATTCGGGGCGGGTCAATAACAAGTCGGGTTTATTTTGGGTCGGGTATAAAAAGTTTCAGGTCGGGTTTGTAACAGGTTGGATTAAATTCGGGTCGGGTTAGGAATGGGTCGGGTTGAATTCAGGTCAGGTTAGTAAAAAGTCGGGTAAAATTCGGCTTTGACAGGTTAAAACGGGTTTGGGTCAATTTCGGTTCAAATCGGGTTCAGTATAAGTTAATTAAATTGGTCATTTGTAGATTGGTAAATCGGTGCAAGTTTTAAACCGGTAAATTGGTCGTTTAAAGACAAATTGGATGGTTCCAACCACCCAATTGGACTCCTAGAGAGAACTAGGGACCATGATAAACATTTCGGAAATTTTTATTCCAGGCGAGAAAAAGTCAATATTTTCCAAAATTGAAGGCTAATGATCATTATATGTTGTCATAGATGTTCGTGGTAGGCTTGAGTTAATGAAATCGATGCAAGTTGTAAACCAGTAAATTGGTCGTTTAAAGGCAAATTGGATGGTTCCGCCCACCCATTTGGACTCCAAGAGGGCATTAGGACCATGGTAAATATTTCGGAAATTTTTATTTCCGCGCAAAAAAAAGTCAAAAATTTCCAAAAATGAAGGCAAATTAAATTATTCATGCTTTTTTAGAAATTTAGAAGGTGTTGGAGCCCGGTGTCAAAAAGTAATGAGATTTTAGGGGATACATCTCGGGACATACAACGACGTTTGAAACCATATATGATCATTATATGTTAACATAAATGTTCATGGTTTTGAATTAATGAAATAGATGCAAGTTGTAAACCGTTAAATTGGCCGTTTAAAGGCAAATTGGATAGTGCCACACTGCCACCCAGCCAATTGGACTGGAGGGAGTATTAGGGACCATGGTAAATTTTTCGGAAATTTTTATTTTCGAGCGAAAAAAAAAGTCAAAATATTCCAAAATTGAAAGCTAAAATCATTGCTTTTTGAGAAAGTTTGGAGATCTCGAGGCCTGTTGTCAAAAAGCCTTGAATGTTTAGGGGATACATCTCGAGTTCATATAATTCCGTTTAGAACCATATATGATCATTATATGTTGTCATAAATGTTCGTGGTAGGCTTAAGTTATTGAAATTGGTGCAAGTTATAAACCGGTAAATTGGATATTTAAAGGCGAATTGGAAGGTTCCACCATGCCAATTTAACTCCCGTAGTTATTAAGGACCACGATAAACATTTTGACAATTTTTATTTACGGTCAAACAAAGTCAAAAAATTCCAAAATTAAAGCCGCCTAATGTCCACGTTTTTTGAGAAATTTTGGGGGTTTAAAGGCTCAGTGTCAAAAAGACTTGAGATTTTAAGGGATAAATGATCATTATCTGTTGTCATAAATGTTCGTTGTAAGCTTGAGTTAACAATTCGGGACCATGTTAAACAATTCGGCAATTTTTATTTTCGGGCGAAAAAAAAAGTCAAAAAAATTTAAAAATTGAATGCTAATATCCACGCTTTTTGATAAATTTTGGAGGATTCAAGACCCGATGTCGAAAAAGGCTTAAGATTTTTGGGGATACATCTCGGGGTCATATAATGTTGTTGGAACCATATATGATCATTATATGTTGTGATAAAAGTTCATGGTAGGCTTGAATTAATAAAATCGGTGCAACTTGTAAATCTAAAAATTAACCTTTTAAAAGAAAATTGGATGGTTCCAACAGACTAATTGGACTCCCAGAGGGTATTAGAGACCATGGTAAAATTTTTGGCAATTTTCATCATCGTGCGAAAAAAGACAAAAAAATCAAAAATTGAAGGCTTATATCCACGTTTTTGAGAAATCTTGGAGTCTTCGAGGCCCAGTGTCTAAAAAGTCTAGAAATTCCAGGGAATACATCTCGTGGTCATATAATGTCATTTGGAATCATAAATTATCATTATCTATTGTCATAAATGTTCGTGGTGAACTTGAGTTAATGAAATCAGTGCAAGTTGTAAACTGGTAAATTGGCCGTTAAAAGGCAAATTGGATGGTTCCACCCACCCAATGGGACTCCTAGGGAATATTAGGGACCAAGGTAAACATTTCGGCAATTTTTATTTCCTTGCCAAAAAGTCAAAAAATTCCAAAATTGAAGGCTTAATATCCATGATTTTTGAGAAATTTCGAAGGTTTCGGGCCCCGGTTTTGAAAAGAAATAAGATTTTAGAGGATACATCTCGGGGTCATATAACGCCGTTTGGAACCATAAACATTCATTATATGTTGTCATAAATGTTCGTGGTAAGCTTGAAATCGGTGCAAGGTTTAAACCGGTATATTGGTCGTTTCAAGGAAAATTGGATGGTTCCACCCACCCAATTAGACTCCTTGAGGATATTAGGGATCATAGTAAATATTTCAGCAATTTTTATTTTTAGGCGAAAAAAGTAAAAAAAATTCAAAAATTGAAGGCTATTATCCATGCTTTTTAAGAAATTTTGGAGTTTTCGAGACCCAGTGTCTAAAAGTCTTGAAATACTGGGGAATACATCTCATGGTCATAAAATGTCGTTTGGAACCATAAATGATCATTATTTGTTGTCATAAATGTTCGTGATAGGCTTGAGTTAACGAAATTGGTGCAAGTTGTAAACCGGTAAATTGGTCGTTTAAAGGCAAATTGGATGGTTCCACCCAACCAATGGGGCTCCCGGAGAATATTATGGAGCATGCTATACTTTTCGGCAACTTTTATTTCCGTGCGTAAAAAGTCAAAAAATTCCAAAATTGGAGGCAATATCCATTGTTTTTTGAGAAATTTCGAATGTTTCGGGGCCCAGTGTCGAAAAGTTGTAAAATTCTAGGGAATATATCTCTGGGTCATATAATGCCGTTTGGAACCATAAATATTCATTATATGTTGTCATAAGTGTTCATGGTAGACTTGACTTAATGAAATCGGTGCAAGATATAAACTGGTAAATTGGCCGTTTAAAGGCAAATTGGATGTTCCATGCAACCAATTGGACTCCCGGAGGATATTAGGGACCATGGTAAAAATTTCGGCAATATTATTTCCGGCCGAAAAAGGAGTTAAAAAATT